AAGATGATATCAGGAGGGTTGCATGTCTCAGTCAACATCTAAGAACAGGACCAGGATCCTGACCCCAGTGAAGCCACCACCAAAATTCTGAGGCTGGTGTAAGCAGGATTTTCCTCTGGTCTTTAGTGCACAGTGAGGCCACCTGGCTGAAGCCACGTCCCCAAAACAAGAAAAGGAAAAACACAGACAGAACACTGAGTGAGGCAGAGCAAGAGTTACAGCAGCAGGAATTCCCAATTACCTGAGTGGCTGTGCTTATCCCAGGGCTCTGTTGAGATTTATGCAATCTCATATTACACTTGCTTGGCACACGAAGTTTTAGTGGGAATTTGGAAGAGGAGGGATTGCTAGCTGGGGAAGAGAAACTGGAAGGCTGTGGTGGGTAGGGTGGGTAGTGATGAATATGCCCAATAGCACAGTTCAGCACTGTCTGGGTTGTGCAGCCCAGTATTTATTCCCTAGCAACCAAAAGGCAAGGGAAAAACTCTCCCACTGCACTGGACCACAGCTCCCTGTGGTTTCCTAGAGCCAGCAGCCTGACTCCACTGCCCTGCAGAGCCACAGTGACAGAAATTTGCAGTGCTGTGAGGTCCCTTTCTTTCCCAAACACCGAATCAACTCAATGCTGTTTCTTTAAGAGACATTTTAACCTCCATTGTGCTCATTTTAATGGATTAAGCTGGGTTTGGGTTTGGTCTGAAGGACAGTCCCAGCAAGGCTTTTGCTAAAGCCAGGCACTGCTTCTCTAATGAATTGTTTTAAGCAGCAGGTATTTCTATTTATTCTGGCATCAAATAAAAACCCGCCCTGGAATATACAGAAACATTCAACATGAACCACTATGGAAAATGTTTTTAATGTGAGAATTCCTTTTCCACTCAGAGCAAACCAGCTAGTCTTTCCCCTTTCCTTGGGGATGAATTCTCTGTTGTGACACTGGCAGGGCACTGGGAGGAAGATTTAAATGAACAGTACAGGCAGGATGACCAGAATTGTCTCCTGCCATGGACAGGCCAGCCAGAGATGGCAAATGGCCAAGGAAAAGGTAAAAATGTGCACTCCTTCATTCAGGTGTTTTACATGGAGTAAAAAAGCCTACGTGGAGACACAGACCACAGATCCTCTTTTGCCAAACCTGGGCATATTTTGAAACACTTTACTGTGATAAACTGCCAGGAGATGGGAATGCTTTTCTCCAAACACTGATTCACTTGTGGAAAGAGTCTGGAAAACTGTTTCTCAATCACCTCCACTCTGTGCTTGGTTTTCTCCAGGCAGCTATTCCTCCAGCTCAGCCTGCCCCTCTGCAGTACACACACTCACTCTGCTTTCTTTTCCCCAACATCAAGCCACAGAGGAGCACATGTGACTGCAGCAGAGGTAAAGTCATTTTTAACCAGGGCAATTTAAGGATATTTAAGACACATTCTCATTTTCCATTTCCCAATTCCACACTGCCCCCAATTTTATTATTAGCTGAATACAGGGAAGCTTCAGCTTGGATCTGGGGTAACATGTACACTGAGGAACGAAGGCCAAGCTTTGCCTTCAAATATGCAGGATCATTCCTAACTAACCGTAAAGCTGCTTATTTGGCACTGGCAGTGGAAATATTGAACGAAAGGGGCATTCTCAATCTGCTTATGTCACAGAAAGGTTGGATTCTGACAGTGTGCAAGGCTCCAAGCTGCAGCCTGATATTAATAGCAAGACATTAAACTCGCAATTTGGCTGGCTGGGAGGCAGCTCTGCTGGAACACAGATTTTTCTGCAGGAAACAGCAGCTCTGGGTGAGGGATGAGCCCAAAGCAGACTCAGGAATTTTGACTGGTGTGTGACAAAGCTGTGTCACACAAAGAGAACCTTCCTGCTCAGACTGAGGAGCAGATCCCACAGCAGAGGCTGTTGGAACACAACTCTTCCACACAGGAATATTGTTTTCCTTCTGCCCACCTCCTCTGGAATGGAATCCATCCATTCCCAGGCCTACCTTACACAACCAAATAGGGCAATGAGCATTAACTATTTCTTACACAAATGTGGTTCTGTTCCATGGTGCAGACAGTGGGGTATCACCCCAAGACATACCTACACATTTGCCCCATTTTTGAGCTTGTTTCTGCCATTATGCAACCCTCCATACTAACCTGGCAGCTGGGCCAAGAAAATTTGAACCAAGTCCCCAGAGCAACTGGTTTCAGTGAGGGGCCCCTGCCAGAACACAAATACAAACCTCCTGCTGCTGTTTTCTCGCTGTGTCTGCATGGCAGGCAAAGATTCCAGGCAGGTTTTTCAATATGGATCTTTCAGAGCACAAATGAACACCTCTTATGAGGCAGTTAAACTTCATAATCCCACTTCCCAACAACAGCTGGGCCTCAAAGCTTCCGCCAGGGTAAGTTCTGCTTCCTTGTTTCTCATAATGTAAAGAAAATCAAGGCATTGTCACTGAAAATAGCATTACCTACAGTACTCTGAGTCCTCTTATTTCAGGACATATAATCCAAGAGATTTCTTAGAGTCTGTCGAACATGACTAAGCAACACTAGATTCTGGACTTGTACTGCACCACACCCGCAAGAACCCCACACTCTTTACAGGAGACCTCCCTAAGCCATGCAATCTCCTGTAGCTTTGCACTCAAAATCCTCACTTCACAGAGGTAGACAGAAGCATTCAGAATGCAAGTGACTTGCCAAATGTCCCAAAATGAGTCAGCGCCAGAGCTGGGAATAGAAATCAGGAGTTTAAGAGTCCAGATTCTCTGCCTTATATAGAGCAGCAGCCACAGCCTCCTGCTTTAGGAGCGCTCGCTGCATTTACAGGATGGCAGCAGTGGCATTGCAAGGGCCAACCTCAGCCACTAGCAGGTGTAAAAACACAGGCACCTGCTGAGACCATGTTCTTCATCTGTTCAGTGTAAAGCAAGAAATGAAAGCAAGCTGCTGTTGTAGAGAACTTTGGGGAGTGCAGCAACCTCAGCAAATCCATTAAGACCAAACGCGATGTCACTCCCTGGACTCTTCACTCCACATCGCTCCCACTCAGTCCTGCTGATTTGGAGAGGAATATCTGGGAGCTGGAGTGAGAAACAGGAATCTGGCAACAGCAGAGATGGTTGAAACACCAAGATAAACCTTCCTAAGCCAGCATGGAGGATCAATGGGCATCCACCTGTCTCAATTCTTGCATTCATATTAAGCCCAAGTCAAAGCCATCCTACACTGCTGCTCCTATCACCCAGGTGTGTGCACATGGCATGGAAGTCTGGCTATTAAAAACCCGTTTATCTACAACTGACACCTGCTTTTCCCAATTCTGACAAAGGAGGAAAACCAGAGAATCTTTTGCATGGTTAAAATTTAGTACTACCAACATTAATCACTTTCTGAAACCAGCTGCGTGTCACAAAAGAACATTCATTAATTTATTCTTCCTCTGCCATGAAAAAATGCAAATGGCACAACAAGGCCAAATGGGGCATAGAAAATACATAAGTGAAGATATAAGTGCTTTGTTGCCACATAATCAAACTGCCAGAGGAGAAGGTAGGAAAAGCAAGACTGAAGTGAGCAAAGAGGCCAGACTAGTTTTGTCCCAGGAATATTCACTTTCTAAATATCTTGGAAAACTGTGCTGGAAAGAGTAACAAGTGAGTTTAATCTTCATTGCTGTGATCATCAACTTTCTCCACTGCAGCCATAGTTTGCAGTAAGTTGCAGCACAAGAAATAACTTGGGTATTGTAAGAACAGAAAAGAAGTCATAAAAAGATTTCCTTAGTCATGCTGTCTCTGGTAATATAATTCCCTGAATGGAGATCTTCAACAATACTCTCTTTAAATATGGAAAGAGCTCTGACTTTAGTCAGCATGTGTATTCCATCAGCTTCTCTCTCTTTTTTTTTTTTTTAACTTCTTTATTGTATCTTACCACAGCCACCTCCAGGTGCAGGCACACGGTGTAAAAACCTTCCTTGGTGGAACTGTGTTTTCCATTGGACACAGAATAAACACATTGTGAGGGATTCTAAATGGAAAAACCACGGACACAGAGGCCAGTCCTTGTTCATGGGTATGTATCCTCCAGCTCTGTATTTCCTCCTTTCACCTGATCCCCACACCAGGCAGGGAAGGAGCTGCATTCCAAGATGAGCCTTCCACAGGGCTCCTGCTGAAGGCACTTCCCTCCCTGCTCTGCATCACCCACTGTCCATAACCCCCTGCAAGTGTCTCCCTGAACACTGGAGTGTAAGAACAGCTGAAAATTAGGATCCATCCCAAGTTTACACAGAATGGAGGATGAGGGGCCACCTGACTTTGAGGCGAGTCTAAAAAAATTCATGCCATCATCACAGAAAGGATGTTGAGCTGTGCCTCCAAACACTGCTGCCACTGTGGGGATTAAAAAAAACAAAACAGAAGGACACTGTGAAGGTTACTGCTACCTGAGTGAAATAAATAAACAAAGTATTTAATGAGTGGGATGTAAGGACCCTGTGTATGCAGGCTTTGGATACGAGTAAAGGCAGTTAGGAAGTAGGAGGAGCAGGAGGCTGAAAAGAAGATTTAACTTGGCTTTCCCACAATGAGGTATTCTTCTCCAGTGTCTGAGTGCCAGCTTGATCTGGGAATGTCACACAGGTTCTTACAATGGGAAATACACTCCTTAGTTAGCAAATTCTTGTTTGAGGTGAGAGAGAACTGAAAGGAACATTATACGGACACACCAAGAGGCAGTTTCTTCTGCATCCACTCCAAAGAAGCAGAAATACTCAAGAATAACTCCTGAACTCAGAGACTTCCAGGGCTTAGAAGGGGTTAAAATTTAATGGCTTATTTATAGCTCATACCCTGCTCAGCTAATCCATATCTGCATCACAGAGGTACACAGAACAGCAAAACCAACATTACAGCAAACCAAGGAGCGAGAGATTGCCCAGAACACTCTCTCAGCACAGAGGTGCCTATCAAAATACCCTCCCCTGCCTCTTGCACTTACCCACAGTGTCACAAGGCTCGTCTTTGTGCACGCAGAAATCTGTCCTAGAAAGAAAAACAGAACAGAAGTGAAATGTATCCTGTGCCTCCAGCCCAGGAAGAAGCAGCGGTGCATGACTCACGTATCATGGGTGTTGAGGTCTGGGGATTTTGTAAGGCTGCTGTGCAGTCTACACGATGACAGCACAGATAGCAGCCCTGATTGCTACTGAGATTACAGGCCTTGATGTGAATCAGCCCCACATACCACAGTCCAATTATCAGACTTAAGAGTCAGCACCTAAAAGAGCCCTGCCTCAGTGATGTCACACTTACTCCAAAGCTGGATTAAAACTGAAGCTCTTTCCACAAGAGAATTGTAACAATAAGGAGCAGACACCCTGTGATGCACCCTAAAAGACAGTGGGAGCAGGAGATGTGTGAAGGCACAGAACTAATAATATGCACCCAGAAATTCTCAATTCTTCACTAGAATAGAGAAGAACATGAAAAAGCAGGACTAAACAGAGAAAGACAGATGTTGACAAGGAAGAAGAAAGAATTTCAGGATTTGCCTGGTAAAGGGGTAAATTGGCTTCAGCTAAACTTATTACACTCAGATTTGCCATGTTATGGTTTGAATCCAACACAGAGAGGTTCAAGAGACTCCATTTGGTTCCCCACATCTCACCAGGGCAGGAGAAGATACTACAGATGCTAGTGGCAGCCACAAATCAGGCAGGGATCCATGGAGCTGTATTAAACAGAATAAAAGCCTTGAAGCTCACCACCAAAGCACTAACACTTCATGTGAGAAGATTTTGTACATGAGATTCCTCATGACAGAAAAACAAGTGTGTTTGTGTGAAAAATATTTTATGACTAAATTAACAACTTGAATACATTTCAAGAAGCACTTAGACCTAAACTTTTAGGAGCTCTCTTCACCAGGGCTGTTTTGCAGTGCAAATCCACAACGAAGAGGGGCTGCAGAGAAACATCACATGTGCTAAAACATTTCAGAAGTTCCTTAACCCAAGGAAAGCTGAGGAACTGTAGTGTCTGTCACCTTGGCTTTCCTCAGCCCGGGAGGAGGCAAGAGAATCCTATTGGTACATTTGGAGTGTGCCATTTGAAATGCCTGAGTCTCCTTGGGGTTTGGAGTTTAAGAGTTTGGCAGGAGGAAGATCAAAAATACTTTGAGAAAGATAAATACTTAGAAAAAAAAAAAAAGAAAATTAAAAGAAATAAAAAAATAGATAAATATTAAAAGTGCTCTTTTCTTGAAGAAAGTTATGAAACTAGGGTTTATAGGAAAAGGGATTTAAGGCTCAGGACTGTGGCTGATGAATCCAGACCCTCCACACCAAACTCCTTTGAAAGCCACAAATCAAGCTGTCAGGGGCTTGGAAGGAGAGCACAAACAGCCATTCCCAGCTCTTGTTCAGCACACATTGAAAACCAACCACGCTTCAGTGCAGAAAAACCATAACAACCATCAAAGTGTTAAAAAAATCAGACAGGAACCAACCAAAAATCGGAAGCTACGACCACACACCAGCCCCAGCTTTCATTTTTCACTGCAGCCTGTGTCTCAACACCTTGGCATTCCAGCCTTCCCAAGGAAGACTAATGACAGTCTCCTGACGGAGCTGGCACCAGCGCGCCTGCTCGGCTTCCCAGAGCCAGCTTGACAGAGGTTTATTTAAGGACTTATTATGTTATATAAACTGCTAAATCAAACAGATGCTTTTCTTGTGACAACAGATAGCTGAACTATTAGTGGATGGCAGGAGGCCACAGCTAGAAAAGCCTTTCTCTCTCTCCAGAGCCTGTCCAGCCCTGCAAATAATGCACAGAATTTCTGCTCCTCGCGCTGGCCCACACCAAAAGGTGTCTGGCACTTTCTGGCAGCTCCACAGAGGAATTACCACCATGCTATTAAACAAGGGGTCAGTAAATGACCCAGCACAACTTGTAGACTCTCCCACAGAGGTGGAACAACCATTGTGTGTGAAGAGAGTGCTGTGATGCTGTTTGGTCAGGGAAGGGCTTGAAGCACAGCAGCAGCAGAACTGAACATCGCTGGCAATTCAAGTACAAAACCTGCTCAGCCCATCCGTAAAACTGTCATAAACACAAGACCAAGAGACTCCATCTTCTGTTCAAATATATGTACAAAAATGTCAGGATTTAAACCATCTGGACCATTGCAAACATTTTATCCCAAAACTCTGTGGCCAAACAGAAAAGCACATCCAGACCTTTAGTCACAAACCAGCTTGGTGGGTCTCAGAAGGACACACCTCATCACAAAGTCCATTGCTGAAACTCCTACAGTCCTTCCCTGGCAGCCAGAGGGAAAGCACAGCATGGAAAGGTGTCAAGAATGATCTGTCTCACCTGTGGCTCAGTCACACCAGTGATTTTAATGGTTCCATTCTGGCACCTGACTCTGATCTGCTTTTAAAAAGGTTTCAATCACGGGTGATGCCAGGTCTCTCTGGCACATTTTTGAGCTCAACTGCATGGGTAATTTTTAAGTGAGAGCTTGACATGACTGATACTATAATGATACTCAACAATTCAGGAAAGGTATTTTAATATTTATTGCATGTGCAAAGGTCTCTTACCACAGAGACACAGTCCTGTTAGCAGAATATTTTACAGAGCTGTGTTGAAATAAAAGTGTTGAAATAAAACTCTTACTGCAGGAGCTGCAGTTCAAGTCCAACATCTGACCTTGTCACACGGGGTCTTGGATAATACACTGAAATCACAGCTCTAGCTGTGAACCAGTTTTACTCTTCACTTTTAGCCATTGACTGAATCAAGCAGGACACAAGTTCTCATCCTGTGTCCTGTGAAATTCTCAGTCATTATCATGTGTGGCACCCAGCAGAGGTTTCCATTAGCAGAGTACGACAATTCTCAAAAAATGACAGCAAGTTAGTTGTTTTGTTCAATAAAAATAGCTAGAAGAGCTCAGAACTCCTCCTACAGTCACTCTTCCATCTGGCTCCCACCAACTGGAAAAAAATACCTAACTGTGCTAAGCTGAACTCTGCAATTCAAGTCCTTCCTGTGGGAAAGAAGGACAGAAGTTGAACTGTGCAACAGGAATAAGAAGCATTCTGTTAAGTGGCCATTCCCAACATCCTTCAAAGGACATCTTTCGACCAGTCTAACCCTGCAGGGTCATAAAGCTAAAGGACACAGGAAACTGGTACAATCCAGAACCTGCCAAAATAAACTTTCCACATCCATAGGTACATTCAGCAGCACTATGTGCCCAGTTTCCTCCAGGCACAGTGAATTCCTCCATTTGCCCATTTAATGGGAAGGCAAAGAGCTGGAGAAGTGTGCAAGGGAGGATCAGGCTGCAAATGGAACAACTACACCACTGTGTCAGGAAAAAACAAGTCTTTGCTTAAAGACAGCTCTGAATCCTGTTCCTGTCAATGTTGGGACACTCTTTGCTCTGCTATCACATCACATCACAGCACAGTTTAATAGGTGACCCAAACACCTCCAGCCAGGAGCTGGGATAACATCAGTGTGCCTTGAAGATTTCCTAGGGAATGCAAAAGACAGAGGGATCAAGAGAGGGAATGTGTTTCAAATGAGACATGCTTCTAAAATCACTAAAATACAGATTCTGCAGACAGAAGTTATTCTGACAGCTGCCTGTTAAAATATGAAGTACACTATCCAAAGATGCCAGACACTTGAATTTCTGCAAGTTCAAAACCAGAATCTGAATGAGGAAAGTCTGATTATTACAGAGACCACAACACTATAATCAGACCTTCAGAGCTGTGGCAGATTATTCCCACTATCTCACTTATTTACTGAGCTGAACAATGCATCTTATTTCACAGGCACAGTGTGTCCCTTACCTGGAACTCAGGTGGATACCATTAAAATCCCACAAGAGGGTTATTTGCCACTTAAGTAATCTACTTTTGCATACAAACCAGGGTATGGGAAACATCACTTAGAGGTGAAGTTTCAAAAGGCAAGCGTGCCTTGGTGTTTCAAATGAACCCAGCCAGATTGGAACCAGAGGGATTTCTTCAGAGCTTGACCCCAAAGAATCTGTTTCTAGTCCTTAAAGCAGCTGCAGCTGCTGAAAATTCAGCTTCTGCTTTTCCTGACGCAATTGCTTGTGCTGGACATGCTGCTGCTCCCACATCCTCTACCACTGGTCCATCTGCACAGTCTGGGGAGGGTCCAGGGACACACACACACACATTTCCAAAGCCCAGAGGAGTAAAATTCATTTCCCTAACACAGGAATGGGGCTGCTGGCTCAGAAGTCCTTCAAACATTGCAGCATCCTCCATGCAGCAGAAGCAGGATGGGTTAAGGATGACAGGACACAGCAAGAAGGAAGGAAAGACTCCAAGTGCACACTGCTGGACTCTCCAGCAGCAAAAATGCTGCTCCTGTGCACAGCCATGTGCTCCCTGGCCTTAACCTTCTCACCAAAGCTCAATCTGGTTTCTAACCCAACCAAACCTGTACTTTTCCAACTATTCCCACTGCAAAACCCTGCAAATCCATTGAACAATTCCTCCTACAAATTTTTCTACAGCTCTTCCTCAGAAGCCTGAGTCCAGCTCATTTAGCCTGACATTATGCATTCAGTTTTGAGAGCAGCAGAGATGAAATGCTCTGCTCATTCCTCCCACCCTGTGCTCAGAGCCCATCAGAAGAGATTCCCTCTGCCTCACTTGTCATGCAGGACAAGTGGATACTCAGATGAGTTTAACAAAAATGTTAGTTATTTATTTAGGCCCTGATCCAGTGGAGCACATGCTTAACTACAACCAGGATGTGCAGCCCGTTGACTTCAAAGGAACTATTCCCCCTGTCTAAACTGTCAAATATCTGCACAAGTGCCTGGTGGCCTGCAGTGAATACAGAGGAGGGAGCAGGGTTTGGGGGAGCTGCACACACGTCTGTGGAGGAGATTTCTCAGGAACTTTGCTGGCCTCGTGCCCTGCTCACCAGCTCTTTCACTGAACACTCACCAGAATCCCATGGACAGCTTGCAGTGGGGCTGTTAACACAAATCTAACACTAGAGATTATTGCAATCAGGATGGCAGCTTATGCAAAAACATGTATTTCTACTTAAATTGTTGGCAGAGAAAATAAGTGAAAGAGGTGGATAATATTGAACTGCAATACAGACATTTCCTGTCTCAAACTGGGGGACAAGAGGGTAGGAAGTAGTATTTTTCTAGCACAATGGGCATCCACATTACACCATAATTTTGTGCCCACTTTCAATATTCAGAGATCACTTCTGTAAAAATGAGTATTTTTACATCTTAAAGGATGCAAAAAATTTAAAACACCATGAATTTTCTGTTCAGGATTTGTGGTAACTGTGGGGAACATGGGACTTGCACTGTATTGTGAGGTCAAGCTCAGATAGTTAGAGGAAAAAAGACTGTCGTCCCTACAACAACCTTTTTCTTGCTTTATCTGATGTGTTTGACACATCAGTAAGATCAGAATTACAGGGGGCAAATCATTTTGATCAAATATTTCTATAAAGATCATTTGTCATCTAAAATAAATGTATGAGCTTTCAAATACACAAACCAATCAGGAATGACATCCCTCCTCCATCTCAGTTGTGATAGAGGAGCGTTGTTAAAGTGGTTATTTCCTCAGGCAAAGAGAGAGAAGTAAAGATCATTTGTCATCTGAAATAAATGTATGACTTTCAAAAACACAAACCAATCAGGAATGACATCCCTCCTCCATCTCAGTTGTGATAGAGGAGCGTTGTTAAAGTGGTTATTTCCTCAGGCAAAGAGAGAGAAAATTAATTCAGTTTATGGTATTTCTCTCCCTCTTTCTTCAGGAGATACCTCCCTCCCCACTGCTGACACTCACTGTCTGCTCAGCTGATTCACCCCTAACTGCACACAGAGCACCTGAGCTCAGCTGTGTTCTCAGTTCCACACCTTCCTTCTCCGAGGAAGGAGGGCTCCAAAACCTCCCCTGCTTTTTCAACTCCCACCAGCAGGTGTGAGAAAAAACCACCCCTGTGTTACAGCCACATCCTGATCCTGACTGTGACACCTTGCCTCAAGAGGAGAGATGCTTTTGTACAACTTTTTAAGAATTCACAAAAACAAGACAGAGCACTTCCACCTGAGCCATCTGAGCAGCAAATGTATCATCTTTTTCTTAGATTTCTGCTAGACCAGATAACCCCATCACTGACAAAGGGCACTACTGGTTGAAGCAAAATGACAAACCAGACCTTCCCATACCTGGTCACAAAAACAGCAGCATCCACAGGAGGGGTGTCATCCCTGGCACCAGGAACCTGGTTGTTACCAAGGTATTTTGCCCCACCATATTCTTCATTTTGCCACTGACAGAAGCTCTCCAGAGATCTCTCTCCATGATGCCCAATGGACAACTTTGCCTTTGGGGAAAAAAAAAAAAAAAAAAAAAATGTAAAAAAGGAAAAACATCAGCCCCAGTCTTTAGATAAAGCATCAGACTTCTCTGTAACAACTAACTCCAGACTGGTTTGCAGCTACAAGCAGACAGCTTTACCAGGAAGGATAAATAAAAGGATTCTGGCTCCTTTCACTCCCACAGCCCCTGTACTTCACACCTTTAACACTGCCTGGTGAAGTGGAACAGGCAACTCCTCACAGTTTGTGATGCTGAGGCCCCACATCCCCCTCCCACCCTGTGGGACACCACAGAGCAGTGCCAGGAGCAGGGGAGAAAGGGGTTGGAACTCACAGGGCGGCTGTGAAGCAGGACTAGTTTGGTCACTCGAATGTTGACTTTAATTCCCAGGCTTTGATGCTGGAACATGTTGTACACCTGTCAAAAAGCAAAGAAAACATCCACAGCTTATTAGCAGAATTATCAAGACCTGGTAATAGTAGAAGAAACTAATTGTGACTAAAGTTAGACATTTCTCCTTTTAAAAATTGACATAAAATGGATTGTGTTACTACACTCAATAAAATAAAGTATTTTTAAGAGTTACTGTGAAAAGGAGAAAAATATTCCAAAGGAACTCTAAAGAAAAAGTCTCATGAACATGGACATACGTTATGAAGCATTCAACTAACATGGATCTTCAGCATTTAAATATCAGAGATATCTGAATGCAAGATGAAATAATGGTGTGTTTTAGACTTCAGGAAATAGAATGGAAAAGCAATTTCCCTCTGTTATTTTCATATCTTATATAAGAGAATAGTAATAAGGCAGCACATAATGACACAAGCCTCAGGAAATACAAAAATAGCACCGGAAACTACCTTACTACTTTCTCCAGATTTTGCATTCCTGCTCAGATACTTCACCTCATTTTTATAGGTTAGAATATAAGATCTTAATTGATCCCAGAATTTTATTCCACCCGTTTTTCAGTGTACAAATGTTTTAACGAGACAGTATCAAAAAAGGTGAGGGAAGGGTTTATTTCAAAAGGTGTAAAATGCCACATAAAAGGCCTTGGGTGAATATTGTATCCCCTACTTCGTCAAAAAACCAAAACCAAGACCAGGGAAAAGAGACTCCTGAAAAATGGGAGGCAGGTTTGGCCCCAGGTAAGCAATATTCCTTCCTCACAGCTCTTTTGGCTACAAGCATCACCCAGGCTCAGGAACTTCCTACAGCAAACCCGAGACACGAGCACATCTTGCACATCTTGTTTTCAACACTTGGTATTTTTCCTATTTGTGCAAATGCTCAGGAATGTGCTCGGTGGAAGAAGCTCTCCAGTGTTTGGGGTTGGATTTAAGCACACACATAAATGTTTCCTACAATTTAGGCACAGATTGCAGGACAGGGCCATTCAGTGTTTGACCCAGTGACCTTCAGCTGAGCACAATGAGCCATTTCTCTTCCCTGGGGCTGGTGCACAAGTGCACACAAGGGCTGGCACTATTTGCTTGGCCTGGGGATGTGTTGGGAGAGCAGTTCAGGCCTCTTTCTACAGACCTGGGGGGGATAAACTTGACATTTGCAGAGAAGGGCTCTGGCAGATGAACCCTGTGTAAGTGCAGACCTGGACATTCAGCTGGGAGGGTCAACCCCTGCTCTGCACTACAGAGGCTGACAAACACTTCCCTGGGATGGATGGATGGATGGATGGATGGATGGATGGATGGATGGATGGATGGTTTCCCAGCTCTCCACTAGCTCTGGCCATCCCATGCAGTTCCCACTCATGAAATGAGAATAATTCCAGCAAACAGGTCTTTATCACTGAGCCTGCTGGGTGCTGGTGCTTGGCTTCCCATCAGAGCAGCCAAGCTGCCTCCAGAGCCAGCACAGACAAATCCAAACACCACTGACTTTCAAAGGCTGTTTGCCCTGGCAAAACCTGCCCAGCAAGCACCAGCTGCTGGACAGTTCAGGATGTCATCTTGAGAGCTGCCAGCCCTTCCTCCTTTTCTCTTGTGCTCTCTATCCCAAGGACAATTCTGACTGCACTTTTATTCCCATCCACCAGTGATATCAGAAGAGCTCAAGCAGCAGCAACTGGACACTAAACCAAAAAAAAAAAGTCACTGGGAGTGCAAGAGGCTCCACTTTGCTTGTTTATTCAAGCTTTGTTTGCTTATTTTCTTAAATGAAGGCCAAAGGAGCCTCAGGCTGATGGTGGTTTGTGTTGCCTAGAAGGAACATTAACCTTTCCCTCTGAGAGGGAATCACTTAACACTTACAGGCAACACACACTTGACTTGGAGAAAATTTAATTTGCCAATTAAAACAATTTGTATACAGAGAAAAAAAAGAGATAAATTAAAACAACACCTTCCCCTCACCTCATCTTTTCTCGTGCATTTCTGACTCCTTCCCCCTCACCCAGAGCCAGGCAGGTGGATGGGGAATGGGGACTGTCCTCTGGAACAGCTCTCTGCTGCTCACTCCTCACACTTTTTCCCTGTTGCAGGATGGATCCTCTCCATGGGCTGCAGTTCCCATCAGGAGAACCTGCTCCAGCACAGGCTCTTCTCCTCAGGTCACAATGTTGGGAACAGCCACTTGCCCCACCATGGTCTCCCCACAGGCTGGAGGCCAACCTCTGCTCCAGCACCTGGAGCTCCTCATCCTCCTGCTCTGACCTGGGTGCTCACATGGAATTTTTCTCCACTTTTCTCCACTATTCAGCTTTTTTCCCCTCTTTTGAAGAGGTTTTCACAGAGGCACCCCCAGCTCTCCTGACGGGCTGTGCCCTGTGGTGGGGGCTGGGACCATCTGTGTCCAGCACAGGGGAGCTCTGGGTCTCAGCCCCCCCAACACTTTCTGTCCTTTCAGAGGGAAACTTCTCTCAGATCATGGGCTTTAAGGCTAGAAGGAATCCCATGGAGAAGGCAAATAGACTTTTAAATTACTTGATAAAAACATATGAGCCTGCCACAGGTCAGGTTGTTCCCAGCTGGATTTAAACCAGGCCGTGCTATGTAGGCTGTGCTCAAAGGAAGCATCATCACAGAATCCAGCTGAATTTAAAATAAAATAATTCAAATACATAGGTCTTTCCTGCTAAGAATGGAATTCCATCATGGCAGCAACAACCTTCTGCCTTTCTCACCCAGCCAACAAGAAAGCCAAACCCCAGAGACTCGGTGTGTGTGAGCTGCTCCACACCACGTCCAAGAGTCCCCCAGCAGCAGGCGCCAAGTGAGGTGCCTGGGATAACTGGTACCAGGAGATGAGGAATGGGATTTCCCACTGCAGATGTTCTCAAGATTTCCTGATGCACAGACAGAGAGACTGACTCACAGACACCTCCCTGCCCACTCCCAACACCATGGGCCACCCTTCCTCAAGCCTGCAATTGCATCACACCCTTCAGGCTGCTGTGACTACTTCCAACAGGGGAAAAGTAAAAATATCTGGGTGGTTTAGAACCTTTTAATAAAATAAGGCAGCTGGGAACAGTGTCAGCTGCATGAAACTCTGCCATGGAACCAAATGCAAAGGTTACTTGTTTAGGACATCACCAAGTGGCAGAAAGCAGCTTGGATGGAAAAAAAATGGAGGTTCTGGATCATTGGGATAAAAAGATGGGATGGGAAAAGTGGTCAGTGTGACTGAAGTGTTGTGGGTGCCCTGCTGCAGGGGAACTTCTACACTTCTGTACTGACTTCTTTGTGATGAGTCATCAAAAGTAGATTGAGCTCTGGAAACAGGAGATATGGTAAAGAACCACACAAAAAAAAACAGACAGAAAAAATGGAAGGGGAAGTGCAGTAGAACAAGGAGAAGAATTACGCCTGTCTCTGGCATCTCCCCCTTCACCTGCATTTCTCTGACAGAGATTGACTGTACAGAATGCCCTGAAGAAAACAGGAAAGCTTGAAGGCTGGACCATCCTCCTGTGTTTGCATTCCTCCTGCCTTTCTCCTCACAGCTCTGACATGGAAGGGGCAGAACAAATGCAGTTTTGGCATAAGCTGTGCAGGCCTGCCCCAGCACGCACAAAGCAAACACAGACATAAGGAACTGGGCTGAGAGAGGAACTAAACTACATCATTTTAATTTTTTTTTTTTAATTCTCAAGAGCTTCCTCTGCAGGTGGATGGTGGGAGGGAGACGTGTGTGTTTCAGATGTTTTGGAGTTTAGAACAGCAACCCTGAGGGTAAATTGACTTTTTTTCCCTTTTTTCTTCCCTGAGCACTGCACTCAAGCAGGAGCCTTCCCATTGCCTTGGCTGCTGGATGAGGTTTGGACAGCAGAAGCCTTAGTCAGGTTACTGAGGTTGTCTTTCTCTTGTTTTGAAAAGTGCTATAGGATTTCTAACACCCACCTAAAGCCAAGCTTTCAAATTACTCCTTTAAACATTATGAAAAAGAACATATTCATAGCTCTTTATAAGATACAGTTGACATAACTCCTTCTCCTGGGGCTGCTGGAGCAAAAAGAGAAATCTGTAGACAGTGATGAAACACTCAGATCCTTTTCCCTTATGTTCCCTCATGTCCCTGTTCCCATCATGAAAATTCCAGACCAGGGAAAGGGAGCTGATTATCAGTGGCAGCTCTGGAGCCTTTGTGTGCCAGCCCCCAAGAGCACAGACATATAAATCCATCAATGCAAGCATGATAAAAATGATTTTATCTGCTTTTTTAACATAAAAAAAAACCCTCACAGGGGAAATCCAAAATGAAAAACAATCTGTGAAGCATAAAATCAGGCTTCAGAGAGTAAAATAGTATCATTCCTAAAGAACAACATAAGAATTTTCCCTCTTAATGACATCCAAAAGATCACTAACTTCAAGTTCCTGCTTGCTGCTGCAAAGAGCTTCCACAGTAATCTCATGGCTTAGCAACAGCTGCAGGAGAACTGACACACACTGCAGAAACTTTCCCTCCACACTGCACTCTCAGAAAAAAAGGCAAGCTCCAAACCAAGCCACAGTTGTAATTTATTGCAAAACCCAAAAAAATACACTTAGGGGACAAAAAAAAAAAAAACCAACAAAAAAACCCAAACCAACCCGACTCTTTTTTTTTTTTTTTTAAGGTTTCCACACCCATAGAAAGCAGCTGTTAAATGACTATGTTGTGGTCTTGGAAATTCAGAATTTCAGACGTCTCTGTCTCCAAATACTCTGAGGGTCAGTCTGGGTGGGACTTAGTTTGCAAAGTCAGCTCTGCGCTCTGCAAGGAGCCAACATCCACAACTCCCTGCTCAGGGCCTGGCTGGAAACAGTCACTCCTCATCCTCAGCAACACAACAGCCATGGACAGGACTTTCCAAAGGGTCTCATCCCCATTTATCACCACTTGAACCAGTTATCTCCAGAACCAATTCTCTCCAGAAAGCTGAAAACCTAAACCATGAAAACCAAACACAGCAGAGACCAGTGCAGGTCCTAGAATCTCCTTTTTCCTTTACTGGTTATTTATTTCAGATGAAAAGCAACCACAAGAGCAAAAAAAAGCACAGAACTCCTGCAAGAACAGAACATCCACCCTCACAGCTCCACATGGATGAAATGCACTGAGAAATTAGCTGCTGGATACAGATTAGCAGAATGGGTGAGCAAAATAAGCATGTTTTTAAGCTTGATTTACCACAAAGGCACTTGAGTCTGGAATTCAGAGGAAGTTTTGAACACTGGTGACTACAGAAGGAGGACATGAACAGGAGATGCTCTCAAGCCAATGGTGAGACAAGAACTGGAATGCAAACACTGCAACAAAGCTCAGTAACAAAGGAGTTTAACCCAGAAGAACAGATCAGCACCTATATCTAAGTAGGTGGTTTTGCATTCCCACAGCTCTGCTGGTGTTTCTCCCTGTCCATGTTCTTCCACTCCTCATGCCCACACTCTCACTGCCTTGCTAAGGCTGCAGCTGTGCACGGTGGCATTTGACAACAACTTTAGCACCTGTTTGGAAAATAGTGCTGAATCAAACACCTTGCCAGAAAACAAGAAAATATTTCTTTTTAGCAGTGGTGACTTGAAAAAAGCCAACTCAAACCCCTGGTGCCCTGCTTGTTCCTAATCATACATTACAGAGTGCCTCAGAGGGAAATTCTTCCATGGTCTTGGAAAAAACTGTCTTATAATTTCAAGCATTAGTTTAGTAAATGGAAGAGCCAGCACCTCTACAGTGACATTCACAAAAAACAAGTACTTTTAATGTGAATCTATTCTCTGTTCAGGGCATGGAACTACAGAATAACATTAAAAACACAGCATTTGCTACATGAAGTGCTACCTGTTATTTCTGGGTTCCAAAATGGGTTTGCTGTGCTTTTAAGCTGTTATTCTAGAAGAGGGTGGTGGGTTTTTTTCCTCTAAGATTCTCATTTACCAAGGGAGCAATAAACCCGTATTTTGTAATGCTGACTTTTTCCCCCTTCAGAAATTCTTGTAACATAAATAGATATTAAATACTTTAAGGCAGATCACTTTATTTAAAATGTCTATAAATATAAAATGCATTAATAAGACCTCTTAATGCTTGTTTTGTGGTTTGACAGTAAACGTAATGGCTTACAGAGAGGAGTTAAGTTAATATACCCCTGACCAGTAATGTTCTATTTGCTTAAATGCAAGCATCCAAGCCAAAATTAACATTCTGGTTTCTTTTAGAGGCAGCCTGCCATCCTGCAGTATAGCTGAATAAGCACTGCCTAATATCATGGGGCAAATCCTGTCCCCCAGCTAACAATCACCCAAGGCTGACAGGGAGGCAAGAAACAAAGATCCCAAGCAGTCAAGAGCTTGGCTTAAGGCCTCCCCAAACCCCATGATTATCTCTCTGAAATACATTTTTCTGAATTATCCTTCAGCTTCTTTTCCTTGGATGAAGGTCAGCTTTCATTACACAAATGTAACACCAAAATCCCCTTTGATTTCCCTGAATTCCACCTGGTTTTATCACCACAGAATAAAGGATTTATGCAATGATGCCATCTTACGTGTTTGCCTATCCTTATTCCTCACTATCTTTTGGTCTTGCCAGTCACTCTCAAGCAGTTTCCTTCAGAGGCCTGAAAAATGTTCCTAAGAGCGTGGGAATAGAGGTGGCTGAGGGAGAGACCCTCCCACTGCCCCTCTGAAGGCTGAAGAGCTGAAACATGAATTCAAATCCTATCAGACATCAGAAAAACTCACACCAGTGAGCCCCCAGGAGCAATGACCTAACAGTGGGAAGCATTTCAGCTGGACCCTGCACCTGAGGAGATGTCACATGAATGTGTTCCTCATCCAAGAGTCCTCTTCCATGTGCTCTCTCTGGTGTCTAATAAAGGGGTGAGCTCACCCTACAGCATCAGAGCCCAGCTTATAAGCCCATCAGCCTAATCCATAGGAAACTAACCTTCAATATTTGTTTAATAAATGGGTTTAGAGAACCCAGCCCGTCTATGAGCACCTCCCCACACAGATTTAATCACACCTAGCAAGCTGATGTTGCTGAGATGTTCTGCAGCCCTTCAGCCTGGACAGACCAGGATTCAAAGACCCACAGCCATCTTTTGTTTAAGACTTAGTCCATCAGTCTGTTCATCTCTAACAATCTTCAAAGGCTGAAAAAGCTGCACAACACAGACATCCCCAATGGTCACAATGAAATCATTGACCTGCTGGCATGAGGATCATCAAAAGCAACTGCAGAGCCACAGTGGAGCCCCACCAATTGACAACTGTGAGAGTACATTGGGAGGCAAAATAAAAGGTAGAGGAAGGGACACAGAAAAGCAGCTCATTAATGGAAAAGACTAATCAAACTCCCTACTCAATCAGCCTCCAGGAGGGCTCCCTCACACCAATGCTTGATGAAGGAACACAAGACCTCTTAAAAAGCTGTTGTTCCATAGCTGGTTTATGCTGAGCATCCATCTCTTCACTGGGAAGCATGACCAGGCAATTACTGTTCAGGACTGTTATTTTTTCCCAAGCCAATTTGCTGCTCATAAACACCAGGAGAGGCACAGTGAGGAGAATGAGCTGTTCCTGGATATTACAATAGCATGGGCAAAGGAATATGAGCTTCCTCCAAGACTTTCCTGTGCAAATGCCTCTGTAAGGACCCCTGCAGCCTCTGAGAAGAGTTTTCCATGTCTACATCCAATTTAGCCATTACCTCCTTACTGGCACTGCCAACAGTTGAGTGAGCACTCCCTGTGGGAGGCTTTGTGTTCCCTTATCAGCTGAACCAGAAGGCCCCACTACAGGGACAGCTCACAAATTAACACCCACACTTCCCATGAGCCTGCAATTTCCGAAGAGTCCCCTCACTCCCAAAAGAGATCCCTAGGATTTCTAGAATGATTTCAAGCCCAACTCCATCAGCTACTCATAGGTATGATCAGCACCACTTCATGCAGCCCTGGAGTGAAAAGAATTGGATCAGCCAGCAGTTTTGGTGATAAGTTTGCCACATTTTCTACATCAAGGGAAGCAGCCATTTTCATTGTGCAAAAATCAGAGATAAAAATCGTTCTGGACTTAAAGCCAGGTCTTCTGCTGGAAATCAATATGACTGCTGGCTTTAACTATCTATAACAATGAGCCATATCTCTTGTGAAATAGGTGTGCCATAGGAATCTTTAGGAACCCAAGAAACATGCCAGACAAGACCCTCCTCCAAGGTAAACCACAGCAGCACCAAAAGCCTGGTAGAAAACACCACTCCTGAGCCACTATTTCCTAAGTGAAAACTTGCATTTTCAGTTTTTAAAAACGGTTTTTTACTGTGGCAAATACCAGGAGTAACACAAACGGAGAAGAGGCAGATAACACAAGAAAACCAAAACCTTTTCTTGTACCCGAAGGTCAAAACCATTCTTGATTTCTGCTGTGATGTCAGCTTTATCCTACCCTGGATACATCCTGCTTACTTTTGTTTCCTCTTTTGAGAGTGAGGTGCCTACTTACCATATTCATAACAGTGAGGATGAACCTCTGGGCAGCCTCTGCTCCGTGGTACTGCACCATGTCAGCATCTGCCACCACCAGCGTCTCCACCGTGTACTCGCTGGTGAGGCGGATCGCGTTCCTCCGCTCCCGCCAGTCGCTCGTGGCCTTCGCTTTCTTCTGTCTCTTCTTTTCTGAAAAGCCAAAATGCCTTTTAAGGCTGGCAGATCATAATAAAACACTCCCAGCCTTTTCAACAAACACTCTGGTGCGTATTCAGGTGGTAACAACCTTTAAATGGAAGTGTTCTTGGCTGGTTAAAGAAGAGGTTGCATTGCAGGTACGTCCGTGCCTCTGGGAGCAGAGGGCAGCAGATGATGTGAAAAGAGGGAAAATGGTGGGAAAAGACATAAGTTCAGGAAGAAGAAAAAATTAACTAATTCAAATAAAAATGTTACAGATAAGTTAAATCTCCCTTTCTCCTAACTAAAGGACCGATGTATTAATAATTTGTCTTCTTCTAAGCTGAAAGGTGAACTGTTTCACAGGCAGTTGTGTAAAGCAGCTGAGGCATGACCAAAGGAGAAATTAAGGTCAGATATTAATTCAAACCTGCTCACTTCACTGCAGCCACAAAATTGTGTTCATGCTTTCAATTGTAAAAATAAAGAAAGAAACGAAGTAATTAAAACAAATTTATTCTTGCAATAAGAAAGAGACTTCTAAGATTCACTGAAATGATCTCTGCCTGCTGTTCAGCCTGTGATATACTATGGGTACTGACACTGCTATTACTATTGATTTTTTCCTGTGGAAAAGAGAACAGAACATGTAAGTCCTGAAACAGCACAAACACAGCATTCAGTGCAAAACTGACGTGGGACAAAGCCTAATGGATGATCAGACAAATCCCTCTCATGGCACACATGTGCTGCTGATTCCCCAGAGCAGAGAATCACTTTTTAATTTTCTCTAGATTTACCCTGAGACCCTCTCTGAGCAAAGCAGCAGCCAGAGCTGAGCTGGTGTTCACTGATCCTGATTTTCCACAGCCTGTTCACCAGCTCTCTGACATAATTCAGCTTGAATTTCCCTTCTTTCCCAGATCATCAGTTTTCCCTGACCGACCCTCGTGCATTCAGGGTGACAAACTCCATCAGCTGCAAGCCCCCCAAAGCCCACCTGAAATGGACTCCCTGCCTTCACCCATTCATGCATTTTCTGCCTTGTCAATATGGACATTTCACCACGTCCATCCCATCTCCTCACTCCTGGGTTTCTTCAGTCATCCAGTACAACTCTGCACGTGCTTTTCTGCCCAAGGCATCAACTGTCAACACTTGGTACATATTTTAAACTGAGAAAACAACCATGAAATTTGATTTTTTTTTTTAAGAGAGTTTGGAAATATCCCCCTGGGTTGAAAGAGACAGACAGGAGTCTATGGACAACGAAAAAAAAATGAAAATGGGGGGTGATCATAAATTACGGGAGCTACATGCCAGCAGCAAAGATGAAAATAACCAAGTTTCAAGGCCTGCTTTCACATAGTCTACAGGAGAGCTACAGAAAAAGTGCACAATCATGGCAAAGCTGCCCTACAGCAGAGGATTTTTAAATAAAATTTAAAAGATTGAAATACAAGAAAGAACAAGAAAGAAGAAGAGCTGAATGCACCTTTGATTTGCCAACTATGAGATGGAGATGACTGCAAACTCCTGTGCAACAGCTCACATGTTTGTGTGTAATTTTATTTCTTTCATTCCATTCATTTCTCATCCCTCCCTCTGCACAGCAGCACAACTTTAGCTGCAGGTCCTCAACATTATCATTAAAATACCAAGGAGAAATCAAAGAAAAAAGAAAAGAAGGTAAATTATTTCAGTAAAAACACTGACATTTTGGGTCTTACTGCTATCAGTCAGAACCTTCCTGAAAACAGCAGCATTTCCTCATCAAATTCTTATTTTGGCAATCCCCTAATAAATGTTTCCAGGTGGTATAAATCTCTTACTTGTAGAGAAGTTGCTCTTATGGTGGGCTAAGCCTAGATTCAACCAAGTCTTGGCCTAGCATTGAATGAGCTGTATAAAAAAGTTTAAAGTGGAACGAAAAAATTGCAGTTCTCTCTATTTTCCCTTAAAAAAATCACCTTTTTTGGTGGAAAAGAAGACATTTTTGTCAGAGGAGGAACTGACTCTGCTGGACTGGAGCTTGAACTCAGGGGAGAAGAGGTCATGCCATGGTCGTTTGCCAGGGTGGTCCCTCCTCCAGAGGCAGGTGAAGGAATTGTAGCTGAACAAAACTCTGCAAGCTGTGACTTCTGGAGAGCAGCAGCCTAAGGGGACTCCTGGCAGAGAGCTGGGCAGCCTTGGTTCACACACAGCCTCTTTCCTCCTGTGGACTGGTTGCTTTCCACAGAGGGCTTGGGACTGGAGGATGTGTGTGGAAAACCAGCACCCCACAGGCTGCCTGGAAACGCAGCCAGGGTGACCTGACAGGAGAATCCAGGCTCCTGCTCCTACCCTACCTTCACAGTCCAAGTGTAAATTTACCTGCAGCAGGACTCGAGGGAGCCCACAGGATTCAGGAGGTCACTGCTGAACCCTCCACAACAGGCACAGCAACACCAGCTACTTAAAAAAGAGAGGTTTTTCAAGCTTGTAGCTCCTCCATAGGGCAAACTGTTTTTATCATTCCTGTCCACTTTCACAGTGGTCTCTCTTTGCATCCTCCTGCCTACCACAAATGCAAATAATTTTCCAGAATAATCAAGCACATGGAGAAAACAAGGCATTTGCATGGATGAACCACAACAAAGAAAAAGGAAATGGACATGTCCTGTATAACAGATGTTTGATGAAGACAAAGATCCAAAACCAACTGGAAAAATCCTCATTAAGTGCATGCAGCTTATACCTGAAAGTGAGTCAGTTTTATGGAGGCATACAAAGAATAAAAATACCCCATCTCTAGAGCCTCACTTGAGAAACAAGCTAGCACAGAGAAGTCTCATTCCTGCCCTGCAAGATTTATGGACCATGGGCAAAGAATCCCTCCATGAGTACATGAAACCCCAAACTAAAATAAACATCAGCCATTAAACCAAGGATTAAATGCTTGGTGGATTCTTTATTTGAACAAACTGATGTTACAAATTTTGTGGTGCAGATGTCAAGTGTTAGTGTGAAGGCATAAGAGGCCATAAACCACGGGCAGGAGCTGTCAGAGGAGTTTACATTGCAGGGAGCACACAGGACATGATTTTAGGAGTCAGGTGTTCCCTGCTTAAGAGGTCAAAGAATTTAGTATGAAATATGAGCTGAAACAGTCAATCTACAACACAGCATGTACATGCTGCAGGTGACTGGGCACAGGGGACATTACTCTTTGGCCAGTCACTCTGACAGTGTGTTATACAGTCTATTGGGCCAAAAAATCCACAAAATTCAGGACTGTGAGGTGAAGGGAGAAGGGTGAGACACCCCCAGATCCTCAGCAAAAAAATGGCTGTGACACTGCACAAGTTCATTAGGTGACTTTCATTTACCCTTGCCTGGCTCACCACCTTCAAAGCCACATGATCACACCACGTCCTGCAGTCTTTGAAGTCTCCCTCAGAATGGGAAGAAGCAGAGTCCCCACTGTGATCAGAAGCACAACAAGGCTCTTCTGAGGCCTCTGTAGAAAACTCCTGATGTTCAGTGCTTTTTATGGCAACTCAACAGATGTACAATTCCAGAGCAACCGCCCCAAATGACCTTTTCCTATTACACACCAAAAGCACTGTCTAGCACTGTCTGGCTTTTGGCAGATTCTTGCTGTAAGTGCAGAGTCCTTTCCTGTTCCTCCTACCTCCCTTCCAACTGTATTTCCCAGACTCATCTAAAAGCAACATCTTCTCCTACAGCCTTCCACTATTTTTTCCTGCCTAATCTTTCCCTTTGTAACTTTAGCTACCTCATTCTTGTTAAACTCACTGACGGTTTCTGGATGCCGCTCAACAAAAGCCACAAATAAAAGTTAAACTGCAGAATCTTTTCTGCAAGGCCAGATTTCTCCTTAGAAGCTCTTTTCTATTGCTGCCTTAAAAACCCTCTCCAGCTCTTCCTCAGGAGCCCTTTGCTCCCTTCCCTCCTCCCACGACCCCTTTAACATCTCCCCACACCCCTGATGGAGGGCAGCTCTGTGTTACCATGTCCTGTTATTTCAGCAGCATAAAAAGGAAGAGAGGGCATCCAATTGGGCAAACAGCTAAAATTAATTCTCCTTAAGCTCCAGGAGTTTCCAGAAAACCTCTGACTGGTACTTACATTAGGCAGGTTTTACTAGCTTCACCTAAAAGTAAAAATCATCACCTCTCCAAAGCGAAACAGAAAGAAAAGGGAGATCCTGCACACAAACCAAGCCTAGAAATTACAGAAAAGAAGCCCTTGAGATGTATTCTTACTATTCAACCTAAAACTCTGTCACTGCTGAATTATCAGAGGATGCCACAAAATGTCCCTGTTAGCAGCAGCAGGATAGAAGTACCTCTCAAAAGGTGGTTAATCCCAGTCATGGAAACATGGAGCCCCTTTGCCTGCCAGGATGCAGCACAAGAATTATCTCTGTGCTTGTTATAGCTCCACCAAAACCTTCCTTGAGGTGTATTCTTACTACTCGGCCTAAACCCTCTGTCACTGCTGAATTATCAGAGGGACAGGATGCCACAAAATGTCCCTGGAAGCAGCAGCAGGATAGAAGTACCTCTCAAAAGGTGGTTAATCCCAGTCATGGAAACATGGAGCCCCTTTGCCTGCCAGGATGCAGCACAAGAATTATCTCTGTGCTTGTTATAGCTCCACCAAAACCTTGGAATTTCAGATTTACCACAGCCAGCTGATGCCAGTAGATTGCCTGAAACTCAGGAATTACAAATGGTTGCTTATTGAAAGAAGAGCTGATTACAGACTGAGAGCTCTCCTCTCATTTTTAATGCCCTGTCCTACAAAACTGCATCTCCAATTTCTCACTGACTGGAACAGCAAAATCAGGCATCAACTGCTAGGAAAAATTATTGCAGAGCAGAATGATCCATTATTCCCTAATTCACCTTCCAAAAATGGCTTTGTTTTGCTTTGGGGTTTTTTTGTTTATTTTTTTTTTCTCCCAAACAGTCACTTTCATACCAAATCACAAGTTCATGACTATT